TCTGATTTCAGGAAAGCATCACTCATGAATCTTAAATTTCTCTACCCGAGCGTACCATTCCTGTCAGCTTTAGCGCTCGGTCTTTCTGCATTCGCCGTGATCCTCCTGATATTTTTCATTTACCTTAAGATAATAAAATCCAGGCAGGTGAGCATTTTCATGTTTGGAACACCATCAGAAATCCATGTTAAAATAGCAATTGTCATCTATCGAGACTGTCGGGATCCGCTGACTTGTTGTTAAAGTTCACTGCCTGAAGAACACTGTTATTAGTGGAAGAGGGTTTGGGTTCGATAAAAAATCCAAATATTTAATTTCATCCTGAACGAGCCACTTGTAGCAGTTGGATGGAGTATTCATGTTGCTATATCCTTAGGCTCCATCACGAGAAAACTCTGCCCAAGTATCGTGGATATCGCAATCACCAGCTACCTCTATTGGAGAAGCACCGTCGACATCATCTTCCAGATCAGAACAGGTTATTGACATCATCAGGCTGTGAAGTCACTCATCCATTTTCTACGATCCACAACTGCGGGTTGATTTTGCTGAATTTTCAATCAACTCGATGCCGTTTTTGATCGATCGTCCGATCTTTTTGGGCAGCTTCACATTTCCGGAAGTGGAATATCGCTATCTCAATCATCGATTCACTGCCGATAGGTTTGTGACAACTTTATTGTTTCTCATTGACTGATATGGCAAAAATTTTCCTCCAGCTACAGTTATCTTCAAGAATTCTGCCGTGAAAATTCATTATTGTTCATTTCTTAAATTCGTTTTTTTTATGACAGCTTCTCTTCCATATTTGCTAAATGTAATCTTTATGTAATGTTCTTCGACTAAACAGTACAAAAATAATCTGTTTTCCAGGACAGGCACCCTCGACGAATGCGGCTTTTTCGCCTATTCCAGCATGCAGAGCTTATCAACCGTATCATCGTGAATATCACTTCACACTTCATGCATTGACCTCGATTCGAATGTACTGTCATTTCACCAACCATTCGCACGATCAAGTGCATTTGATCCAGTGCATGACATTTGATAACCTATGTCATATTCGAGCATAATCAATCCACTAAGAAGTGCATCATACTACGAAGTGCATCAAACATCATATCGCAAAGAAGATCAGCTGGTTAATTGATTTAGATCTGCAAGTGTCACTGATCGCAGCTGAACATGGTCATCCGTTGCTTCAGTCGGTGTTTCACAGCGAATGGTTCTGGGGAACTCGTAGTCGTACGCCATTTATACGTTCTCAAGAGCTACATGGCCGTCCGGTCTTACCTATTCTTGCTTGATTCATCTAACAATAAAACGGATTTTTGTCGTCGATTAATGAAGCAAATAATTTCACGAAAGTTCAAATACCGCTGAAATCATAGTGAATGTCAGCATCATCGTATTCATTTCTTCATTGTGATACTGTTGCATACAGTTAATGAGTAACAAGGTTATCAAGCTTTCTGAATTAATCTTATGAAATTGTGAAAATGGTTTCATTGCCAACGTGCGTCTTATGGGCTCATCAGCTTGAATAACCTCGATTTTGAGCTCACTCGATCGTGTGACTCAGTCAGGGCTTACAAGGAGCTCAAATATATCCGCATCACTCCTATAAGGCTTAGAGGTTGCAACCAACAAAAACGAACATTTTTAGTACTGGGCAAATTTAAACCGGTCCAAACTGGGTGTTTCATTTTGTGAACGCCTGTGATCTTTCGGGGTTATACTCCTCGAAGTGCCACTTTCCATGAGTTTAATTAGATGTCCAAAATTGATGTTCTCTTTTTGATTTTAGCTCCACTCGCTGATTTTGAATGCTGTTCAGAGCATACCAGTTAAGTAAAACATTTTCACATTCCTTCCGACTAACGTTTTGCCCTCTTTGCAAGAACTTTCGTGCACATGCCAAATCATACTGCCAAGCATATGCATGAGAATGGGATATTGGTTAATGCAATATCACTTGAAATTGCTGTAATGTGCATTGTCGTGTTCAACAAATTGTGATTTGCACAGAATTGCATGTTGATGTTCTTTGAGCACATGTGTGTACTCAGGTGGAAGAAGACTAAAATGTTTCTGGATATTGTTTTGCCTAAATATCACAACGGACTACATTCTGTTATCACTCAATGAAAAATGGCTGAATTACTGCTGAAACTGAGCATTTCTAAGAAACATTTTCAAAATATTCAGGATGGATGAGAGCACATGTTGCGTTCAAGCCGAGCACGAACAATGGCTCTCATGAGTCCAAACTTTCTATGAAGATGCGGTGATCAATTAGATAGACTTTAAAATCTGTAGATATGTCATGAAAGAAAAGCCGATACTTTTTGATTCGCCTCCGTATTTGAATTTTTACGAACTGCAACAATGAATTCCACCACATCCAAAAGGTATTTTCCTGCGAACTTTTCGGTCACTGTTCTGTAACTCTTCCAACCGCTACTACAGTGCTGTACGTGATGTTGTGTGAACTTTGATGTACTCCGGTACAAC